CTTAATACTGTTATGCTAAAATAGTCTATGTAACTAAGAATACAGAATAAATGCTGCAGAGAATCTCATTTGAGCATGCAACCAGACTTTCCTGACAAAGTAATCATATAATATAAACTCAGGGTTGAAAGAAAGAGTCAACATATTCATACAATATGGATACTTTGACCCTTTTCTCCAAACCTAAGTCATTACTTAGGTTTTAACACATCAGCCTGTTTTAAAATTAAACCAGTTACTTTTTCTTGCTGAGTCCTCTAATGCTCCAAAGTTGCCTGAGACCTCTTCTAAGTCTCCCAGACCATCTCAGGACTCAAGGTGACCGAGTAAAAGGCCTGGAAAATGGCCCTGGGGCCATATGGCACTCAGACAGAGTGAATACAAGGAAGCAAGTACTTAGCTACATATCCTGGACACAGTTCTGATCCCTCCATGGCTGATAGTCACACCTCACTGCGCTTTTTGTTTTTTCAGATTGAAGAAGAAGGTGGGGCCAAGGGAGGCATGCAAAAGACAGAAGCTTCTCAGAAGATGACCCAACACCAGTTGGAATAAGGGTCAACAGGAAGAGAGCTCAAGTGCAAGAAATATAAATAGATAGCTCTGGTCCATATTGAAGGAGTTTAAAATAAATTATCATAGCTCGGTACATTTCCAAAACGCAGATGCTGGCCAATTTCTCCAGGTCTAAAGGACATTTCCTTTTAGAGATGGCATGCACACAAGGCAGAAATACCATATCTAAATCCAGATTCTGTTAAGATTCTGCTTAGGTAGTTGTGAGACTTTGGATAAGACATTTCAGAACTTGAGCTTTTATTTCTTCATGTGTCAAGAGAACCAGTTGGATTAGATGCTGTAGGATCAGCATTGGAATGCTAACCACAAGGTTGGCAGTTCAAACCCACCAGTCACTCCTTAGAAAGTCTATGAGTCAGAACTGACTTGACGGCACTTACCAATAATAAACTTAACAACAATTCAGAAAACAGGAGCCCTGGTGGCAACGTGAGTTACACATTGGGTTGCTAACTGCAAGGACTGCAGTTCAAATCCACTAGCTGTTCCACTGGAGAAATATGAGGCTTTCTGCTTCCATAAAGACTTACAGGCTTGGAAACCCTACACAGGGTCTCTATGAGTTAGAACCGACTTGATGCCACACAACAATTTAGAAAACAGGACTATAAAAACTGGATCATCACAAGTCTGAGAAAAACCAAGAACAAGCAGACTAGAGCCAGAACAGAAGTGATGGTGAGCTGGGAAGATGCTGGAAAATGGTGATTAGAGAGGGCTCCAAATGAAGAATTTTAAATGACATCTTAATATTGTTATGCTAAAATAGTCTAAAAATAAGAAATTGGGAGAAATCCTATGCCATAGAGTTCTCGTCTTTCTCCTCAGTATCTGGCCCTGTAGTCAGAGCCCCATCTTTTCCCTGAAGAGTACAGAGTGATGACTCATAGGAAGAACATACCTGCAGATATCATATCCCTTCTGCCCGGGGGATGACTCTAGCTTAGCTGCCAAAGAGAAATGAAAGATTTCAAAGAGCTCAGTCCCTAACCTCAGTGTTTCAGTCAACCATCTAATAATCTTTTGGAGTCTGCAACTTCATTTTTAATATATAGCCTAAAAACCTAAATAAAGTTTCTCAGTCTTTAGTTTAAAAAAAGTTTTATAGTCCTCAAAGTTTTAGGAATACCCAACAGGTTTTGAGTCTCTCCGATCAATTATTAGTCTGTTATAAAATGCTAGCTAGAGTTTAAGATATTATTAAATATTTAAATAGCACAATAAAAATTTTAATCCACAAAAATCTGATGATTTTTCTTTAATAATACATTTCTCTGTTGCTCCCTACATCTTTGATACTTTAGTTCATCTCCCTCAAGGAAGACCCTCGCTTAATACACTTAACTTTTGTTATGTTGTTATTAAGTGCCATCAAGTCAGTTCTGACTCACAGCAACCAACCTTGTATAGAGAGCCCTGGTGTGGCACTGTGGGATAAAGCACTGGACGGCAAGGTTGGACTGAACCACAAGGTCTGTGGTTCAAATCCACCAGCCGCTCCTCAGAAATTCTACACAGGGTCACTATGAGTCAGAACCAACTTGAAAGAACTTAGCAACATAGGGTTTCCAAGGAATAACTAACTGGTGGGTTGAATTGCCAACCTTGTGGTTCACAGTGTGCCGATCCTATGTTGTTGGTGTTGTTAAGTGCTCAGAGTCTATTCCGACCCATAGTGACCCTGGGGTTTTCAAGGAGCAGCTTGCAGTTCAAATGACTTTGCAGTCTGACGCATTAGCCCACTGTGCCATGCCAGGACTCGCTGATTCTATAGGGCCACATATAAATCTAGTTTGAACCAATTCAAGTCATGTTGCTTAGAATAGGGGTTTCATGAATGCGACTGAGAGTAAAAATATCAATTAGCCAAAGTAGAACATCATCAGCTTATTAGCTATTACTCTTAGATAGTCTTAGAATCACAGAATGTTTAACACCTTGTATAGTACCTGGCACACAGTAGAAACTCAAGATGCCCACATCGGGGGCACAAAGGTCAAGCACTTGGTGGCTAACCACAAGGGTGGAGGTTTGAACCTAACAGCAGCTGCCCCCATGGGAAAAAAGAGTTGGTGATCTTCTGTGAATGTTATAGCCTAGGAAACTCTCCACGCAGTTCTGTCCTATAGCATTGAACTCACATAGCTATGAGTCAGAACAGACTCTAAGACACACAACTAGCCACAGAAGGAACTCAATAATGCCATTTTAATTGATCATCATCACTAACAGAACAGTTACCTTTTAGTCATTAAGGACCCAGGCACTTTTCATGTTATCTCTTAATCCTCACAACAACCCTATAAACTGCTATTATCTCCATTTTACAGATTAAGAAACTAAGATCCATGGAGATAAAACAAATTCACAGATGTTAAAAGCAGAGTTTCCCCAGTTTCCTGGGCCAGAAGTTCTGGGTCTCAATCTCACTGGTTCTTTTATTGACACCCAGTGTTTACTTTCAAAGGTGACAACTGATGTGATCTGACATGCGTGTGTTGGCTCTCCTGGGAGGGCAGACGCTGCTCCTGACACTGAGTACTTTATGAAAAGAGGGAGGCACTTGACATGAACCACAGTTTCCCCAAGTACAGTCACTGCTTTTAGACTCTAGGAAAAGATTCCCTTCTTTAGACTGGGCCTCTCCCCATCCAAGGGCTTGATTAACTACTCTCCTCTGTCAGCCTCTAAGAACAGCATTTCTGGAAAATATTCAGACCCCAACCACAAGCTTTATTCCCATTCTAAGAAAGACTTGCAGCAGCAGTACAAGTTTTAGCAAGTATGCTGCTAACCTGGTTACAATAGAAATTCCTGGCTAAAGTCACGGTTTGCAAATCTCCATCCCAAGGACATTTTCTTGCACCAGCATTTCCCCTTCAAATATTTGCTTGCACAAGAATTTCAAGGAAACCACCAGCTTCAGCCAGCATTTGGTGCATTGAATGCCAGAGAATATATTCCCTCTGCCAGTCTAGAATCATTTCCGTGTGGGTGGGGATACAATTACATACACCTAAGTGTCCAGAGACACAAAACCTCATCCATTAATGAGTTAAGAGAAACCACCTATCATTTCAGATTTACAGCTGAACAACTATTTCGACTGAGAAAAAAGAAACCCCAAACAAACCAGTATAAGCAGCTGAGCGGGCCTGCAAGCCAGCAGGTGTTATCAGAAAAAAATTTGACTTTAAGATTCACAAGATGTTTCCTTCAACTCTAAATTCTCACTCGCCTCTAATAAGCGCAAAGTTTCACCGTTACTGTGTCTGCGCTTTGTTTTCAGTTAGTCCTGCAAAGGCGTCAGTTCAATTAAAGCCCTGGGGGGCAACGGGGGTAGAGGACAGGGATCTTTTTGTTGTTAATCTATTTTTTCCGTAGCACAGATCAAGAATGCAACCCCCACAACAATTAAGTTGACTGAGCTTCAAAACGCCGCTCCAGCCTAAATAGTTGGATCATGTGGGAATCAAACATTTTTCAGTTGTTTAAGAATGAAAAAGAGATGCTAAGAGCGCCGGTTTCCACTTTTCTAAGGGGCTAGCACAGCTTTGGTGAGCTGTGGTCACTTACAAACCTGGTTTGCAACGCCCCAGCTCAGATCGGACATTTTGCTTTTAACCCCGGGGCTGCACCCGCCCAGTGCAGGGGCCCCGTGCGTCTCTGATGCTGCCGGACGCAGGGCCCCCGCACACCACTTAGAAGGACTTGTTTTCTCAGCTGATCTAGTCTTGAACAGGTGCTTGGTGAACTCCATCTTGAGGGGGTTAAAAAAAACACCCATGCAAAAGTATCTTCTACTGGAGCGCCCGCCCTGCGGGGAAAGCCACGCGGCGCACGAGGGAAAGTGGTTTTCCAACTTCTGCGGGGGACCCCGGACAGGGTGCTCCGTGAGTTTGGATCTTTCCGAGACAACATTCCCAGCAACTCCACAGCAGCAAGACAGTGACCCCAATACTCTACCCACGCCCGATACACACACGTGAAGCTCAGCAAAGCGTGCCACCTGCCGGGTTCCCAACAAACAGTCCGATGGGAAGGACCGGTGTAAAGCACTTTGTTGTTAAAAAACCAAAACACACGCACACACAAACCCCCAGTAATCTCTCCCAGAACCGAGGACAGCCCGGCCTAGCACGGGGGCCCAGGCCACCACAGTATGGAGTTGATCCTTGAGATCTCCTTCTTCCCGGGCCAAGCGGGAGCAGAGCGCGCAGAGCAATGGGCGCGGCTCACCCAGCTCTGGCCGCTAACCGAGGGCCCCGCTAAACCCTCGGACTCGCGGAGGTCCGCGCGGACATGGGTTGCGCCGGCTGCGGGCTCCGGGGCTCCGGTGCGCGCGGGAAGAGGGCGCGCCCTGGCCCCTGCTCGCGCACGGGCCGGCGCCCGGGTGGGGGAGGAAGAGTCGGGAAACTCACAGCCGCTTGTCCTCGGGCTGCAGCTGCCAGTGCATAGCCAGCGAGAAGCCGAAGAGGCTCCCGGGGTCCCCAACTTTGCGGATCACATTTTCCTCGCGGGTGTCCAAGTTGAATGCGGCGCCGAGCCGGGGCAGGAGCCCCGCCGACAGGTAAAGCAGCCACAGCTGCCCCGCGGCCGCCATGGGCAGGCGCACAGGGAGGGGAGCTGGGACGTGCAGCGGCCGCCTAGCGCTCCGGTCTGCTCCGAGCCTGCAGTGCTGCTGCTTCCGCGCCGGCCACGGCCACCTTCGCCTCCCCGGGCCGCTTCGCCTGGCCCCACCCCCGGATGGGTCGTGCTCTCCGTCCAGCAGCACCCCCTCACGAGTAGCTCCCGACTGCTGAATGAGCCCGTTGTTCTCTGGAGACTCGCAGACGTTTTATCAAGTGACGAGAACGCCGGCCCCGCCCCTCCCCACCCCTCTTGCCCCTCCCTGCGCGCCTGCCTTCCTTGCTCGCCAGCCTGCACCTTCCCAGCCCACCCGGCAGCCCTCGTGTCAGGGCACTGCCCTCCCGGGCCCCCGTCGCCGCCCCTTACCTGGCCCGAAAGGAGCTGCGGGAAAGACCAGGCCGACCGACCGGAATGGGGAGGCGAGCTCGAAGCTTGGCAGCCGTATCGGAAGGACCTCCTCTGGAAAGAAATACTTGAAACGTTAGCGAGAAAGGCATATACTACCTGTTGGTAGAAAACAGTGCTGCTGATGGGCCAAGCCTTATGCCTGTTCAAGTGCATACTTCATTCGTTCTACAAGTGTTTGTTGAGCACTTACTTAACATGTGCCAGAGACTTGTGGAGTGGAGCCACAGAGACGATTCTGGATTCTCAAAGAATATACCTTCAAAAGTTAAAACAGCACAAAGTTGGATAGTGCTTTACTTTTGTAGAATACAGCTATTATCTCATTTAATCATAACAATCCTGCTGCTGCGTGCCATCATGTACGTTCTGACTCACAGTAACCCTTTGTAGGGTTTCCAAGGCTGTAAAGCTTTGTCAGAGCAGAAATCCTCATCTTTCTCCCCCCCTGAGCAGCTCGTGGATTCGAACTGCTGACCTTCCGGGTAGCAGCCCAACGGGTAATCCACTATGCTACCAGGGCTCTTTAACAATCCTATGAGTTGGAAAGTTTCTTTTTGCAGATGAGAAAACTAAATATCAAGCTTGCCCCCCTCCCATCAGTCAGGGTTTGATGGATGTCCAAAGAAGCATACATAATAAAGAAGCATTCAGTGAAGAAAATGTGTGGGAGGAGTCACACTGGTGTCAGAAATCTTAAACTTGCTTTCCAGGTCTTTGGAGGCTGGGGAAAAGTCCCCCAGCAGTAAAGGATGAATTGTTTGAAGTGGAATCCAGGTCTTCAGGCATTATCCTTTCCTGGTCCCAAACTTCTAGGCCTGGTAGGTGAAGTAGCAGCAGCAGTGGGCTCAAATATAGCAACAGTTGTGAGGTTGGAACAGGACAGGGCAGTGTTTCATTCTGTTGTGCATTGGGTTGCTATGAGGCTGTATCAACTCCACGGGCACCTAACAACAGTTGGTGAAGAGGAGTCCTGGTGTGGCACTGTAGGATAAGCACTGGACTGCTAACCACAAGGTCAGAGGTTCAAACCCACCAGCTGTTCCTCAGAAGGATTGCTGTGAGTTGGAACGGACTCAACAACACTTCACAGTAACAACAGCAGTCGGTGGAAGGGACTAGTATTCATGTGGATAGTATGAAGGTTCCTGTCTCCAGGGCAAGGGGTGGGGGCTCAAGTGAAGTATTGCCCCTTAGGGCAATCTTATCTCTGCAGGGAATCTTAACCCTGGGAGAAAGAATTAGGGAGTTCTGTGAACTTTAAAGAGGAAAACAATGTCTATTTTTATTCTCACTAATAGCTAACTGACATTAAGCATTTCCTTCTATTAGGAATGTAACCACGGTGGTATTAGGGTAAGTATCTGTGATTTAGTCACCAGTGGAAGCCATAGGGTTTTTTTTGACACATCATAGATATTGCACATATCTCAAAATATCATTTACACCATGACTACCTCAAATCGCAGTAGTTATTAGACCACTAGCTAGATTTGTTATAGAACAGATTAATAAAGAAGCATACATTTTGCTATAGCATAAATTTATCTTAATATTTCAATAACTATATTTCAATATAATTACTTTATAACTCCATGTATTTTACTTTATGCATTTAAAAGCTTTATTCTGATGAAGTTGGACCCATATCTCACACCATATACAAAAATTAACTCAAAATGAATTAGTGAGCTAAGAATGACAGCTAAACCCGTAAGATTTTTAGAAGAACATAGGAGTAAAGCGTCAAGATCTTGTTTTTGACAATGGACTCTTAGCTATGGTATCAAAAGCTTGAGCAGCAAAAGAAAAAAAAATAGATAAATTGGACTTTATCAATATTAAAAACCTCAGTGTAAAAAGTAAAGAAACAACCTACAGAATGGGAGAAAGTATTTTGCAACCATATACAACGAAATTTGTGCTATAGCAACATACGTGATTCCTTATTAGCATAAGGTTTAATATCTGATATAATAGCTAGACTATATAAAGAACCCTTACAATTCAACAACAAAAAGACAACCCAATTTTAAAATGAGCAAAGGACTTGAATAGACATTCCTCTAAAAATATATATACAAATGGCCATTAAGTACATAAAAAGACATTCAAAAGTCATTAAAAATTCCAACATCATTGAGTCAATTCCTACTCATAGTGACCCTATTAGACAGAGTAGCATTGCTCCTTAGGGTGTCTGTGACCATAAATCTTTACTGGGGCAGATAGCTTCATCTTTTTCCCATGTAGTCACTGGTGGATTTGAACTCCCAACCTTGCAATTAGCAGCCTTGCAATGTTTAAACTTGTGCACCACCAAGACTCCTTCAGAGATCATTATGAAAATGCAAATCAAAACCACAGTGAGATACTTCATACTGACTGTTGTTGTGAAGTGCCGACAAGTTGGTTCCAACCCATAACGACCCTGTATAGGGTTTCCAAGGAGTGGCTGGCGAACTTGAACCACCAACCTTGCAGTTCAAACTGATTTTGCAGTCCAGTGCATTAGCCCACAGCGCCACACCAGGACTCCTCATCCAGACTAGGATGGCTGTTATTATTACTATTTCTAATGGACAAATTTGGGTATTCCACAAAAAGTTCCAAATAGAATTACCATTGTTGTTATGAGGTGCCATTGAGTAGATTACGATTCATAGAAACCCTGTGTACAATAGGAAAAAAAACAACACTGTCTGGTCCTGCACCATGTTCACAATTGTTGTTAGATTTGAGCTCATTATTGTACCCATTGTGTCATTCCATCTCATTGAAAGTCTTTCCCTCTACTTTACCAAGCATTATGTCCTTCTCCAGTGACTGATCTCTCCTGATAATCATAAGACAAAATCATAAGACAAGTCTCACCATTTTTGATTCTAAGAAACATTCTGCTTGTATTTTCTCCAAGATAGATTTGTTCATTCTTCTAGCAGTCCATGGAATACCCAAAATTCTTTGTCAACACCATAATTCAAAGCCATCTGTGATAGTTAAGATTTTGTGTCAATGTGAATTGGGCCAGGGTTCTTAGTGGTTTGGCAGTTAAGATGGAGTAATCCCCCATAATGAGATTTGCTATGAGCAGTCCATCAATTGAAAGAAAGTTTCCTCGGGGGTGTGTCCCTCTTCCAACCTATGAATACTTGAACAAAGTTGTTTGCTTTCTACTGGGTCTGGATTCTGCTTCTGGCTCTTTATCTGATCTCCAGTTGTTTAGACTTGAACCAGTGGCCTGCTCTACTGCCTGCCTATCTGAGGAGTCATCAGCAGCCAGACATCTTACCTGCCCAACCTACCTACCTGACCTACCTACCTGCCTACCTTCTAAGCTGCTGATCTTGGTTCATCGGCCTTAAAGCTACATGAGTCAGAAGCCTCCAGTCTGATATCTGACTAACGGACTTGAGACTTGCCCACCTCTACAATTGTGTGAGTCATTTCCTTGATATAAACCTATCTTTGCATATACATATATAAGCTTCACTTGTTTTGCTTCTCTAGAGAATCCAGCCTAAGGTAGCATTAATTCTTCTTCAGTCTTCCTTGTTCATTGTTCAGCTTTCATATGGATATGTTGTTGTTTTGTTGTTAATGGCTTTTCTGACTCTTAGTGAACCTGTAGAGGGTTTCCAAGAAGAGACTGGTGAGTTTGAACTGCCAGCCTTGCGGTTCAATCTGACCTTGTGATTGAGTGCTGATCCTACAGTGCCACACCAGGACTCCTTCACATGAATATAAGAGAACTGAAAATACTGTGGCTTGGGTTAGGCATGCCTTAGACCTTAAAAGAGGTCCTTTGCAGCAGATTTTACACTGTTATACATTGTTATTTGGGTCAGGTGCACCTCAAATTGATCTTTGTTCTTAAACACTTTAAAGAGGTCTTGTGCAGCAGATTTGCTGAATGCAATATGTTGTTTGATTTCTTGGCTACTGCTTCCATGTGTGTTGATAGTGGATCCAAGCTAAATGAAGTCTTTGACAACTAGTCTTTTCTCCATTTATCTACATGCTATTTATTGGTCCAGTGGTGAGGATTTTTCTTTTCTTTACATTGAGGAGCAACCCATACTGAAGGCTGTGGGTTTTGATCTTCATCAGTAAGTATTTTAAATCATCTTCTCTTTCAGCAAGCAAGGTTGTATCATCTGCATATTGCAGGTTATTAATGAGTCTTCCTCCAATCCTGATGTCACATTCCTCTTCATATAATCCAGTTTCTCAGAGTATTTGCTCAACATACAGATTGAATAAGTAGTGAAAGAAAACAGCTCTGGCACACAACTTTCCTGATTTTAAACCATTCAGTGTTCCCTTGTTCTGTTCAAATGATGGCCTCTTGGTCTCTATACAGGTTTCTCATGAGCACAATTAAGTATTCTGGAATACCCATTCTTTGCAAAGTTATCTATAGCCTGTCATGATCCACACAGTTGAAAGCCTTTACATAGTCAATAAAGCACAGGTAAACATCTTTCTGGTATTCTCTGCTTTTAGCCAAGATCCATGTCATGTCAGCAATATCCCATCGAAGAACTGATACATTTAAGTTACTGTGTTGGAGAAGAATATTAAAAGACTCCCAGAAGAACAAACAAATCTGTGTTAGAGGAAGAACAGCCAGAATGCTCTTTA